TGGTAAGGAACTTCTACTGTGTCCTCACATGGCGGAAGGTAGAAGGGCAGAGATGGAGAGCTTTGAAATTCACTAGTAGTGAAGATGTTTTCAAAGATCTTGGGTCAGCTGATGGCATGGTGGATCCCATAAGACAACTGGACCCCACATGACCAACTGTGCCATCCAAGTCCCGGATTTGGCAGCTTGAGGGACATGCAAGGCACATGTGTATGCAATTCCAAAATTCTGGAAAAAGAAATGGAGAAGAGATTGTGACATGATCATCTCCCATGGATAATTCTTTCTCACTTTCTCTCTCTTTCTTTGGCAAGTGTACATTGCCTTCTAGGAATCAAAAACAAAAAAATCCCAAAGATCTTTTAGATTGCCACTGCTATGGTTTGAATATGTTCCCTTCAAATTCATGCACTACAGACTGGTGAGCCATTGTAACTGTGTTGAAAGAATGGAGACTTAAAATTATTGCAGTGTTGAAACATGAGGCCATTGGATGCTGATTAGACATTAGTGTGGTGTCTTCATGATTGGATACTTGTGGGTTTATGAGGACCCAGAGTAACATGGACACAAATGTACACTTAAGCTCGTGCCATAGAAGCCCTCACCAGATATGGCCTCTTGACCTCAGATTACCAAAATTGTTGGCTGAATAAACCTTTATTTTGCAATAAATACATTGACTCAGATATTTCTTTTATTAGCACCACAGTATACTAAAAAGTTCACAAAATACATTTGGTCCTATAGTTGGTTGATATGCAACCAATCATGGTTCCAAAATATTTAGAAAGATAACAAATTTTTTAAAAATTACACAAGTAAAAATAATAATATACTATAATAGCAATTTACATGGTATTTGCATTATATTAGGTATTATAAATAATCTAAAGGTGATATGAAGTATACAGGAGGATGTGTGTAGATTGTATGCAAATATCTCACCATTTTATAATAAGGGATTGAGCATATACAGATATGGGTATTCACAGGGGTCCTAGAACCAAACCCATGCAGAAACTGAGGGGCGACTGTGGATATTTTCAACATTAGCTAAGTGGTGAGTTTTCCAACTTTAACCAAAATGCTTGTATAATTACCTTGGTTTTTGTCATTTTCTGAGATTTAATTTTCTATTTATTATTGAATTTTATTTACTTCAAATCTTATTTCTTTTCACAATATGCTCAGAAAGTGAAGGGTTCACAGAAGAAAGTATAAATGTATAGCAATGCCAGTACTTTTACAAATAGATGACTCCTTAGGGGCTCATTATGCTCAGTTATGAAGGAATATTTTCCCCTATTGCACTTCTACTCAGTCCCAATAATCTATCCGTGTTGGAACCAGCAGTTGGCGTAATGGCTATGTTGCTGGACTCCCATGTAGTCGACCACGGTTCAAATCCTGGACCCTGGGGCTTAAACTCACGCCAGGCATGTGTGTGAGTGTGCCTAAGATCCCGAGAGGAGAATAGAGGAGAAGGGATTGTGGCATGGCCATCCCCACTGGGGGGTGATTTCTCACTTTCTGTCTCTCTATGTCTGTCTTTCTAGAAAGTGCACATGCCCTATAGATGCTTGTTGTACAAATGATACAATGACTCTGTCATTCACAGTCCCTACAATTGGACCCTAGCCATTAAGATGCACTAGAAAATTCCTTTGCACTACCATATTGTACCATTTTAAATGTTAGGCAACATATGTGGCTATTGCATTCATATACCCTGGCAGACAGTGGGCTATTTACTACCACCCTAGTATCTACGATTTGGTTCACGTCAATGGAAATCTCACCCTTCCCTTACACTTTGTGGTTTGTTGGTGACTGACCATCTCCATGACTATCTCCCTCTACTAGATTATAAACGCCCTGGGTCAGAAATTGTGTCTTACTCATGAACATACGCCAACTCTAGAAAAAGGCTGGACGTGTAGTAAGTACTCAAGAGTTGGTTAATAAAAAAATGACAAAAATAAAAACTGTGATGTCAAAATAATCCATCAAAAAGAGAATAAGCAGCCTTCAGAATTCCAGGAGTCTTCAAGGGTGAGGTCATTAAAAAAATACTTCTAATAAAAATAATTCCCTGGGTTATTTCTAAGTTTACACTTAAGACACATTCCCTATGAGACTAGAATCTTCTAAGCAACTATTTCTGGAAAAGATTAATAGAGGTGAGAGACACAGTTAAAGTCTTACTCAGAGTTTGCAAACCTTTTAGTACTTAAAAAGGCATTACTCATGATCATTAATCAATAGAAAGGAATGCTCACAGAATGCTTAGGAGAAATGTTTGCTAACGCAAAAAGTCAGAGACAGGGAAGGCACACATGCCCAAGGTTGCAGACAAACTTTTCTTTTACTTCAACAAATTAAAGCTACTAGAAAAGAACAATTGATCAGAGGGGAATATTACTGTGCAATCTAAAAATAGTGCCAAGGTCACCAAAACCTCAGCTTTTTAAAAATTTATTTTTCTGTGACAGTAATTGTTGAGAAATGAGGTTTTTTGCAAGACTGACTTAAACATTTTGCTTACAAGTTATTCAGCAGCAAGGATTTGGAAAGTACTTTTAATTCCTTTCTATTTAATCAGGTTGAGTTACATTGTCAGTAAATCTGAGTTTTTAATTTTATAAGGCTTTCCCATAATTCTAATTATCTTTAATTTATTTGCTCATGCTAGAGCCTCTGGTTTTCCCTCTTTGTGTTTCTGAGAATTATTTCAAAACAAATAATTATACCTCAAAGATTTCTAGTCTGTTCCAAAAAAAAAGCTAAAAGCTACAAGAATTTTTAAAAATTAATTAGCTTTGGAGAATCATGCAGTTTTATAAGAAATTACTGAGCTGTGGAGAATCATTGAAAATTTAGAATCCCCATGGAATATTTTTGAACACTATGTAAAACTTATGAGTAAGGGTTTAGTTGAAGACCGAGAATCAAATGGGATTTATAGAGACCCAGGCCTCTCTATTCTAAGCTATTCCATGATAATTGTATATCTTTCACAACACTGGGAATACTATATTATGTTGTCCTGTTATTTATAGATACTACTATTATAAATAAGACTTTTTTTCTTTCACTAATTGTTGCAATAGCGTGAGTCCTGGGTTATCTACCCAGTTGCTGCCATGAATGAGCACATGCCTCAAAGGGCGGATGGCTGGGGTAATGTCTAAGGTTCAGACATGCAGGCGTCAGAGAAGGAAACTAGGCTCACCTTATAATTAAACCTTTGACTTGAGACTGTATTATGCTATTTTCCTATTAAATAGTTCAAGGAATTTCTGTATTTTCTACAAGTTAATCCCGGGCAATATCATGGCACATTTTGTATATTACCAAACCACTTAGTCTAATTATGCCTCATTGTCTTCTTGTGCTTTGAAATCATCATGAAAACCTCTTACAGACATATGCTGAAATATCTTTCCCACAGAAACCACTACCATTGCCAGGATTCAAAACATTCCAAGGCCTACTGTTTCAGTAACTGTTAGGTCAGATTTTGTAATCAATTCTATTAAAGAACAGAGCTAAACAGATAAATCAGGAAGTAGATAATGAAAGACAGACCACATTTAGACAAAGACATGGTTACTTTTTTATTTGAAGAAAAAAAATGTATGTTTTAATAAATACTGCGGAAACATTGACCAAACATACAAAGTGACTTCAACGTTTAAAAAAAATGCAACAAAAGTTCTGCTTTTTAACAGTTATAACTTATTTTCTTTTTACAATATTTAAATACAGAAAGCACTTGCCAGCTATTTTGTAATACTGCCCGAAGCATAATGCTGCATCAATCAAAGCATATTATGTTGGTAAAATGTCTGTGTTTCATGGAAAATGACTGGAATGGTATTTTCTTGCAGAGACAAAACAAAGTGCTTGTAGGACATAGAACTGAGTGTTGTAATTACTTTAATCTCCTCTCCTGCCACAATTTAATGGGAGCACAGCTTCAACACTTCAAAAATGAAGCATTATCATTGGAAAGAAAGCTTGTTTTCAACAAGCGCCAACAATAAACAGGTCAAATCTGATTTCTTCTGCAAAAGAACCTGTGGTCAAAAAATATCTGTAAACTATTTAAAATGCTGATTATTTTATGTAACAACAGCGGTAAGTGTTGAACACGGACCTTGGCCACATCTGGTTAAGTGAGGTTTAGCAATTGCTCTCTAGAAATGCCCTAGTATCATGCCAAGGTGGACATTCTAATTTTCTGCTAGGGAATCTCTAAAGATTTGGGTAAGTGGGTCCTATTTATTGATATTCACTTAAAGAAAATGACATAAGCTAGCAAATCAGCAGATGCTGCCAATTTTGGAGCCTTGTCCCCAGATAATAGTCCTTTTACTTTGTATATTTGGTAACTTAATTCCAGGCGGCTTTACTCACAAACTGTGCTTTCTGCTACTCTTCCTCCATTCATTACCTCTTGTGGTGAAAATAGTACCTACATCACATTTTTTCCCTCTTGAATCATTCTATGACTTCAAATCAAGACACCTTTTAATTGACTTTGCATTTATAATCAACAATGGCAATGGTATTTTCTTGCAGAGACAAAACAAAGTGCTTGTAGGACATAGAACTGAGTGTTGTAATTACTTTAATCTCCTCTCCTGCCACAATTTAATGGGAGCACAGCTTCAACACTTCAAAAATGAAGCATTATCATTGGAAAGAAAGCTTGTTTTCAACAAGCGCCAACAATAAACAGGTCAAATCTGATTTCTTCTGCAAAAGAACCTGTGGTCAAAAAATATCTGTAAACTATTTAAAATGCTGATTATTTTATGTAACAACAGCGGTAAGTGTTGAACACGGACCTTGGCCACATCTGGTTAAGTGAGGTTTAGCAATTGCTCTCTAGAAATGCCCTAGTATCATGCCAAGGTGGACATTCTAATTTTCTGCTAGGGAATCTCTAAAGATTTGGGTAAGTGGGTCCTATTTATTGATATTCACTTAAAGAAAATGACATAAGCTAGCAAATCAGCAGATGCTGCCAATTTTGGAGCCTTGTCCCCAGATAATAGTCCTTTTACTTTGTATATTTGGTAACTTAATTCCAGGCGGCTTTACTCACAAACTGTGCTTTCTGCTACTCTTCCTCCATTCATTACCTCTTGTGGTGAAAATAGTACCTACATCACATTTTTTCCCTCTTGAATCATTCTATGACTTCAAATCAAGACACCTTTTAATTGACTTTGCATTTATAATCAACAATGGCAAAAAAAAAAATAAAATCACACACCTTTTTTTCTAGACAGCGCACAAAAATATTACATTGAGCAATTTACCACTTTTTAATGACAATCACAATGATGAACAGAACCATCAGACTGAATAAAAATCAACACTTTTTCTATTTGATCTATGCAATCTTTATAGTGCTGGTCTACATATCTTGTAAGACTGCAAAAGCCTTTATTTAGAACCATCTCACTCAGCTATCTTCAGGAAGGCAAGATTTCAAAGCCTTATAAAGTTTTCCTCTGGATATCCCATGGGTCCTGATATAATTTCCATTTTAATGATGAGCTAGGAGGAAATTAGATCACATCCTCTAGAAAACTAAATGCTAAGGTCACAGTGCCAGTTCCCTATTGAGGATGGTATATTAATATATACTTTCTGTAAAGGAGATTAAAACTTCAAAATCAAATCAAAGTAGAGATCCATGAATAGATTGCAATAAAAACAACACAAACAAAAACGCAAGCACCATTCAGAGTGCGATTTTTCTTCTTGGAGGTACTCGCATTCTTCCTCATCTACCTCGAGCCCATTTGTATCTCTCTTTTTTGGCATAGTTTTCAAGTCGCTTCAAAACTCTTCGAAATATTCACTTTCCACCACTCGGTCTACATGCCGAACCTAAGGACAGGATTCCAAAAAGATGAGTATTCTTTCAAATGCCTCCTAAGCCTCCAGTATCCGTGGCTTTGGCTGTGCACTTCATTCAGACTTCACCTTTTTGTTTTGCTGTTGCTTTTTACACTAGATTCCCTTGTCCTCATTAAAGATAACTAAAGATTCACATCACGGTGCAGCTTTTTGCTTTGTCCTTTCGTAAGTCTGTAGCAACTGCTGAGAGTTCTGGTCTGCTAGGCATGTGTGAAATCCGCTTTGTGGCCCTTTGTGATTTGTTCCGCTTAACGTTTTTATTTGTCTTATTTACACATGCCAAGGTGGCAACGTGAAAAATGTCTCTGACGCTATTTTCTGACTGTAAAGCTGAGCATTCAATATATGTAGCTGCTCCAATCTGTTTGGCCATATTTGCACCCTGAGAAGAAAAAGAAAGGATTTTAATCAGCAGAAAGACTTTGGGGTCAAGTTATAAAGTGTTTCTTAATACCACAAAATAATATTGCACTGCAAACACTCTCAAATGTGTCAACTGAATTTTCCAAGTGCAGTTGCAAAAAACATTTTTTTAATTTGAGTCATCTTATTTATTACTTCATAAATATGTACAGTCAAGGCCAGCCCAGTTATTATTACTCAATAGATACTGCTAAGTTTTCCATATTTGCTAAAGGATCTTATGTCACCGGGTCATTAATAAATGAGAGCCCTGATTATCAAAGACTTAACATGAGGTGATTCAAAGAAGTAGAAGAAGGCAATTCATCTTCGCTATCAACTGTAACCAAAGGAAAGTGGTTATTACATCTCCCAAGGTCACAACAAAGCAGAGAATTACCCAGATAATCTCACTATTAGAATAAATTAGTTGAAAATCATGAACATAAACTCTCTATTTTACTGACAGCTCTAGTAGGGGCTGTTTGGACATAAAGTTTGTTCCAGTAACCCCTAGGGTGGTTAATTTCTCTTTTCTTGAGTATAAATGTCTCTTAAGAGTAGCCAATAGGTATAAAAAACAAAGGCAATGAACGGAAATTAAAATAATTTTTTAAATGTATGTGATGGGACCAGCAGTTGGCGTAATGGCTATGTCACTGGACTCCCATGTAGTTGACCACGGTTCAAGTCCCAGGCCAAGTGGCTTAAACTCATGCCAAGTGCATGTGCGTGTGTGCCTAAAATCCCAAGAAGAGAACGGGAGAGAAGAAACTGTGGCGTGGCCATCCACCCTCGGAGGTGATTTCTCCCTTTCTGTCTCTCTATTTCTCTCTATCTTTCTGGTGAATGCATGTGCCCTATAGCTAAAAACCTCTCCCAAAAAAAAAAAAGTACGTGACTGTCTTAGAACCAAAATAAATTAAAAGGGAAGAAATAATCCTATTGGGGTCAGCAGGTGGCATGGTGGTTAAGGTGCCAGACACATGGCTGGCTGCAGTTTGAGTTCTGGGCCTGGCGTCTTGCTTTCTCTCTCCACCCCCCCTCCTGTGAACATACATGCCCTAGAGAAAATTAAAAATGATAATGACAATAAATAAAATTAAATAAATACTTTCTAAAGAAATAATACTATTATGACACCTACTACTTTATTGAACACAAAGGTTGTAATTTATTTTTTAAAAGATTTATTTAACTTTATTATTATTATTAATTATTATTTTATCTTGATCAGAGACAGAAAGAAAGAGAGAGAAAGTGAGAAAACAAGCTGCCAGGTCCAGGACTCAAATTGTGGGAGTCCAGCATCTTAAACACCATGCCACCTGCTGGTGGGAAAATATGTAATTTCTAAGTTGGCGCTCTACCAGTATACACAATGATAAACATGTATGTAACCATCAAAATTACTTACTTAAATAATCTAATTTTTTGTTTGATTGTTTGTTTGTTTGTTTCACTTTTTTTTTTTTTTTGAGAATTTTTTTGCTATGGGGCACATGTGCTTGCCAGACAGAGAGGAACAGAGAGACAGAAAGTGAGAAATCACCCCCCAAGGGGGATGGCCATGCCGCAATCCCTTCTCCTCCATTCTCCTCTCAGGAGCTTGGGCATGCACACACACGCCCCCGGCGTGAGTTTTAAGCCACCGGCTCCGGGACGTGAACCACGGTTGACTACATGTGAGTCCAGTGACATAGCCATTACACTAACTGCTGGCCCTTTTTGTTTTTTGAGAGGTTTTTGCTATAGGGCACATGCACTTGCCAGAAAGACAGAGAGAGACAGAGAGACAGAAAGCAAGAAATCATCCCCCAGGGGGGATGGCCATGCTGCTGCAATCCCTTCTCCTCCATTCTCCTTTCGGCATCTTGGGCATGCACGCACATGTGCCCGGCGTGAGTTTGGGGTCTGGGACTCAAACCACAGTCGACTACATGGGAGTCTAGCGACATAGCCATTAAGCTAACTGCTGGCTCCAATAATCTAATTTTTATTCATTAAAAATGCAAAATGAAGAAGACTACAGTATTTAAAATGATGAATACTAAATACAATCTGAACAGCTATTTCAACATTAACTCTCTCTAGACTCTGGTTATAGTTTTAAAAGAATGAATGACCTTCTGAAATGAATTCTCTATTGTAAATAGGGGGGGAAATGTTTGAGCAAATGATACATACCTTTATAATGATTTTATGGAGTTTCTGTTTTACTAATTACAACCTTTTTTTAGTATTTGATTGTGTGGTCAAATATACAATAAGATCACCTCTCTTAAAGAGTATTACTGATTTTGACTATATTCTCACTCTTAAATATATTTAACTTTTAATGCAGTGGTAGTTTCAGAGATATAAAAGGGTTGCATAAGATCAACTGCTTATGATCTCAACAACGTGTGACCGTGCCACTGAATGACAGAGTGGTGCACATTTCACAAATGACCACTGGCTCAGTCTTAAAAACAGCTCATTTAAAATTTCTTAAAATGTTTTTCAAAAACCACACCTGCACATGACAACATACGTACCTGATCGTATGACACCGGTGTCTGCCTGTGATTTGAGAGCTCTACTAATGTACTAACATCTGTCCGAAGATCAGACTTGCAGCCAACCAAGAGCATTTTGGTGTTGGGACAGAACTCCTGGATTTCACCTTTCCACTATGAGCAATAAATAAAATGAATAAATAAATAAATAACAAAGTGCTGGTATCCATATAATGAAAACAATCACTCCATTGAAAATAGGACTCAGAAACAACATTAAAAAAAAAAAGTGTCATTTCAGATATAAAAGTAAATTTGCAGTCATCTCCTAGGTAGAAAGTGGGTCCAATAGGAAATGCTTGTGTGTATTATTATTATCGACTCTCCTCTGTGACTCATCTGTCCCTACTGCAACAGACATGTTCAGTGTTGTCAGAGGTAGCTTCCACAATTTCTTAATTACTGGGGTATCTCTGAGAGATAAAATAGTGCTTTAAGAATAGTTATATATCTTAACAAGTAACTATATCCTCATGCATGTTGAGCTTGTCCTCCTCAGCTAGAAGGCTAGAGACCAGGCTGCATCAACACTAGTGTAAGTTCACTGACTCCGTCAGGGAAGGCTGAGGTATGCCACATGCTCAACAGAAGTCCTGCCATCTAGGAGGCTCCACCTGAGTGGCTGAGTCAACACAGACCATGCCATTTGCAAAACATCATCTTTTGGGCTATCAGGAAGGCATCTAGTCTTGCAGTTCTTATGCCCTTGAGTTAGTTTTTAAGTTACATAAAATGAAATATTTCTACCTAGTCCAATTAGGTTAGTTGTTTTGTGAGGTCACAATGATCATTAGAACCGCCAAAAATGCCTGCCAGGGAATTCCAAATGTCCTCCTTAAGAGTGAGCAGATGACTCCTGTGGTTTCATTTTCTCAAATGCGAGTTTCCCATCAGAACGGGAGGAGTTCACGGTGCTCTCAGGAGAGCCCTGGCTCTTGGAGAAGAGGGAGTAGAGGGGCTGAGATGGGAAAACGGTGCCTGACTCTTCCTGCCCACATTCACAAATGTGTAGTAGGTGCTCTACCAAGGATTGTGGTGGTGACAAAGATGATTCATACCTAGTTGTGTATTCCAGAGAGGAATTCACAGAGTAGCAGAGATAATGGATTCATGCATGTAAATGTAATACTATTGGGTTGTTGGGAAAGTCATGATGCATTTTTTGCAAAGAGAAAAACAGAAAAATATCTTACAACTTTCCCAACGACCAAATACATAAGAGGGACATCCTGCAAGAGTACAATGAAACCTCATTGAGGAGACATCTCCACATCTGGAGGTCTACTTTGGGCAATTGTCTAAAGTACGCCAGGGGACTGAAGGTAATAGCACACTTTACATAAAAGGAAAATTTGTCCACTGATTCTCTTTCTTCCTTCTCTCCTTCCTTCCTTCCTTTCTCCCTCCCCTCCCCTCCCTTTCTCTCCACTCCCCCTTCCTCCTTCCTTTCCTTCCTTTTTCCCTCCCTCCCTCTTTCCTTCCCTCTTCCCTTCCAAAATTATTCAGAAGCATCTACTCTATGCTATGTGGCACTGGAGTTAGCTCTGGAAAATGAATTGAAAAAGGAATAAGAAATCTCTGATTTAAGTTGCTCTAACCTCTTTGATAGTCAAGGACTTAAAGGATTCAATTAATCAAGACAAAGTATAGCAGGTGTTATCATGAGCCTTAAAGCTCACATGAATATAAGACATACTCATTAATATCTATCAGGCCAAAGTCACTATTCATTTAGTCTTAGAAAACAAAAGCAAAATAAAACAGGAGAAAGCCTTTCATCATAAATTATGTATAACTTGATACTACATCAGTAACACTCCAGTAAATAAGAAACCTCTTTTATCTATAAACAGAGCTAGAGACATGTTGTTATGTTGCTCTTCAGCTCTGTAATGACTTTGGCCTCCCTCTGCTTGTCTAGCAATTGTTTACAAGCATCAGAGAGAGGAAAGGTGCGTCCTGCCTGAATCTGACAAACATTAGCATTATTTGTATTAGATGTGTATTACTCAAAACCGAAAAGGGTTAAGACGTGAAAAAGAACCTTTGATCTATTAAGAAAGTCATATTTCATTGAACTGTGCTTGTAATGTTTTGTGAAGTTGGGGGGGGGGTGATTATACTTCAAATCCTTATTTCATAATGACAATACAAGCCAAGCAATCAAATACAATAGAGGGATATAAGTTAATTAAAACACACAAAATACAAATTCTGCTTAAAAAAACAAAACAAACAAACAAAAAAAAACCCCAGCCCAGACCAACTACCTGGGTGTTCCTCTTTCTCAATCCCTACTACCCTCTGAGGAGGCCACATGGGTTGCCACTAAGCTGACCCTGTTCTACTCTCAGGCACATCCTGTTTCTAAGCCATACCACATGGAGAAGAAGGGGTGTTCCCCCCAGGCTCTGATTCTGAAATCCCACAGTACTCAGTCCAAGACTCACAAAATAGCTAGCAAAGCTGATTCACAGATCAGCATGCACTTTTCTTTTTTTCTTTTTTTTATGAGGTTTTTTTTTTTTTTTTTTTTTTGTATAGGGCAAGTATGCTCGCCAGAAAAAGAGAAACAGAGAGACAAAAAGCTGGAAATCACTCCCCTAGGGGGGATGAACACACCACAATCCCTTCTCCACAATCCTAGATCTCCTCTCGGGATCTAGGGCACACACGCACACGCGCTGGCGTGAGTTTAAGCCACCGGAGGCCGGGACTCCAACCGTGGTTGACTACGTGGGAATTCCGCGACATAGCCATTATACCAACTGCTGGTCCCACAGCATGAATTTTCTATAACTATACAGAAGCTGAGTCCTAGGTCTGTAGGCCAAGAAACACCCCTCATTCCCACTGACCTCCCAGGACCCATCCCCCAACACATGCCCTTCCTCTTAAACTCCCTGTAGTTCCTCTATCCAGAGCCTCCTTGGGTCCCTTTCCCTATAGAACCTGACTTACTTTTCCCTCCAGAGGTATATAATTCACAACATGTTTACAACTGCAGTTTTTTTGTTTGTTTGTTTGGAGAGATTTTCGCTATAGGGCGCGTGCGCTCGCCAGACAGAGACAGACAGAGAGACAGAAAGCGAGAAATCACCCCCCAGGGGGTATGGTCACGCCACAATCCCTTCTCCTCCATTCTCCTCTCAGGATCTTGGGCACGCACGCACACGCACCCGGCGTGAGTTTTAAGCCACCAGGTCCGGGACGCGAACCGCGGTCGACTACGTGAGAGTCCAGTGACATAGCCATTACGCTAACTGCTGGTTCCCTACAACTGCAGTTTTTAATAGCATTTGACATAAACCTGATGATAAGTCATAATATCTAGAGACATAACCCTATTCATGCTATTCTTGATCCATTTCTGTTTCTAATAAACAACATTATAACTGAAACACAGCTTCTTTATTAAAATAGCTATTACTGCATTCATTTCAATATCTGAATTAAGGTCAAATGTAATCTATGATCTGCCAGATAAAGGACAAAAGAAGGCATGACTGACAATAATCAAAAATAGTTCTTTTTAGTGGCACCATTTCTACCCAAAGGACTTTGATAAAGATGTTGTGATTCAGAATTTGTGAAACAAAATTTCAAGCAGGCTCATCATCAAAACTAGGGACACCTGTATACAAGAACCCTGTTTGGTGTCGAAGTGTCCTAGCCAGTGTTTTCATTAGAACACTCCCAAGCCGGCCACATGTTTGCACTTTATATATCACCCAGTACTGAGCCTTGCCATCGTTCCCCGGCACTTGCCTTTTTTAGGACACTGTCCAGAGTCTCTGGTCTACTGATGTCAAAGCAAATCAGCACAGCGTCTGAATCTGGGTAAGAAAGAGGGCGGACGTTGTCATAGTAAGGAGAACCTGAGAAGAAACAAAGACACAAGTTTTCAGATGAAAATCCCCTTTTTCTGTCAGACATTAACTCTGTTTATTTGAGCTAAATCCCATGACTGTCTTGTCATAGCCCCACTCCCGCGTCCTCTAGTTCTTGGTAAAGAATGCACATACACCACAGCCCAGTTAGTAATATATTCATTTTTACTGGTCAATAAACAAAGCCTCATATATCTGGGCTGAATTCAAGGGAAGGGCAGATCCTTAAAGTGCAATCTGCAAGGTCCACAAAGACTAGAGCTCGAAGGTACCCAGGCGAAGTGGGGAAGCACCCGAGTCAGGAGGCCTTACGTGCAAATCTGTGTCCACCATTAAGGGGGAAGGCAGGGTAGTTTGGGGACTCTGTGCCTCTAATTCTCCACTAGTAAAATGAAGATGAGGATAAAATATCCACACCTGGGTTAAACAAACCCAGGTGGTGCCTGGCCATTAAGTAAGGGATCAGTAAGTGTTCATCATGATTCTTATGGTTGCGGGGTCACTATTGTTAAAACCTGAGCAGTAGCAACCACCATAAACTAAGCTACTTCCTGAGAAAGCGACTAAAACTCAAGATCAGGCTGATAGTGGGTTGGGATGAATGGGGACGGGAAAGGAAGAGAGGTTCAGCTATGCAAAGAGAACCACAGTAAACCATCTCAGTATTGCTCTGTTTCCAAGTTACAAGTTTGAATACGCTATTGACCTTTGAGCTTGCTTACTTAAACTTACCCACAAATTCTATATAGAATTTCTTCCTGTTACAACCAAGAACGCCATAAATGTCACAGTAGATCATGTCACTTCATTAGTTTCATCTCTGAGAGTGACACTAAGGCATGATACAAAAATCGTGACCTGAGTTAAATCCAGGGTACCCTAAAGGTTCAAGCTTCCACCAATTATTTTAACCATAGAACCCCCAGGTTGTTTAGAAAATTTCTTCTGTTCCTTTAAGAATTCCAAAAATATGGGCCATTAAATAAGGCTAATTATTGTAAAGTGGTGTTTCTATAAAATTAAATATAGCTTGCCAATTGCTACTTTTTAAGAAACCATTTTAACTGTACTGACATTTCACATGCATAACATGAAAATCATGTTATTAGGCAAATACATATACACATATATATTTGACTTCAGGGTAGAGAAAGAAAAAATCTACACCACCAAAGTGTTTGAATCCTTGTTTCATTTTGACATTGCTTTCCATTTCTAGCAAGAAAACATGACATGTTGTCCCCTGATAAATCAAAACCTCAATAGTAAAGTCAAGAAGAAAGAAAGACTTAAAAGAAGCTTTTAAAATCATCTTTTACATTTCTATCAAAACAAAATTTTTCAGAGTCTGCTCTTGTGATCTGAAAATTACTACAGTTAGGGTACATAAGTTCTGGGTTCCTAGTACTCAACTATGGCACAAGGGGTAACATTGTGACTTATTTATTTATTTTTGCTACAGGGCACATGCCCTCATTGGAGAGAGGGAGGGAGGGAGAGAGAGAGAGAGAAAGAGAGAGGGAGAGAAATAGTGAGAAATCACCCCAGGGGCAATGGCCACACCAAAGTTCTTTCTCCTCCATTGTCCTCTTGGATTTTAGGTGTGTACACAACACATACCCGGCATGTTTTTCAAGACACCAGGTTCAGGACTCTGCCATGAGGTTGGCCATGTGCCGTTCAGCTGCCTTAACCTCTGTGCCACCTGCTGGCCCCTTACTAGACAGCTTCAAGTCAAGCATGTCTGCTAAGCAAGGATGAAGGAAATGTTCCAGGAATCAGAAAGAAAAGTGGCACATGTCAAACCCAAGTTGTTCATAATTGCAGCAGCTCTCTACCTACATCTGGAACCAGGACCCTGATGTAACAGAGGCTAACAACTCACAGATATCCCCAAAGCTTAATGGGTTTAGAGTTTAAAAAGTCAACTATTTTAAGTATCAAGATATTACAAGTTGTGGCTGCCTTTTCAGCCATTTAAAGAAATCTGCAGTTAAGGGACCGATCCCCAAATAGTTCACACATTTAAACATTTGAGAGGCATCAACAATGAGATGGCTTGACACTATGTCAAAAGTTTCATGGAGAAGTGGAATTAAAGAATGAGTTGATCTGGCTCCAAAAAAAACCAAAAAAAAACAAACAAAAAAAAACCCCTGAAAACCATGTATAATTTTCTAACGCATTTTCAACAAACTTTTGAATACACCCCCCCCCAATGCCTAGATACACTGGTATTTCTGTATTTGTTCTATGAAGTTCTGACCTTTTCAGTTATAACCTTTCTTGTTTCTGTCTCCAAAGCCTAACTTTGATGCTGCTGTCAATATTTGGGTATCTCTTTTTAATCAGGCAATCAGAAAATGCCAGATCACAAAGTAGATCCCAAACACTGGGCAAGTACAGGAGGGAAAGTTTCCTCTGCTCTTTGAAGTGAACAAGAGATGATCTGACCCCAGACTTACAAAGTTAGAGACACCAACAGTGAGGTTAAGTCAGAAATCTAGTCTAGCTTCAGAAATCCCCTTTCTTGGAAATCATTCCCATTAGGAAAACCAACTCGCTCACTGTGGACAGTTTCCAGTCTCAAGCTGGTCTGAACATGGAAGGATGGGCACCTCCAGGTACCCCACCTCTTCAGAATCCAATGCTGTAGGAGTCCTCCCTTGCTAAGCTTGTGTCTAAGAATACTTTGCTTAATGGGCACCATTGTGGCTTTTCCAAATACAAAAGTTAAGAAAGTAGGAAAGACAAGGGCAGTTAAAGAAAGGTTAAAAGGGTCAAAATACTTTAAATCGGGCTTCCCAGGGATATCCAGAAGGATGTTCAACGTTCAGGTCACCACTGGCTGCAGAGACTACCCCTCCCTTGTGGACTGTGCTCTCTCCCAGAACATGTTTATGGCCACAGAGGGGTTGTGGCTTTGCGTCAGCCCTCTGTCACCAGCTGGAGACTCCGGCTTATTAGAGTCAAGTGAGCTGGCTTCTGTGTTTGCTTTCTATAGCCAAATAACTGCAAAGTTTAGGCTCGAACTTGATTCTAAAATGAAACTGTTTTCTTAAGGTAAACCAAGTCCTCATAGAGATTTGCTTCTGCTTCTGCATTTATGTATTTTACCAGTCTGAATGAAGAAAACCTACATAGCATAAAGGTTCATGGGAAATAAACCACCTTGCTCGTGGAGGAAAGAGGTAATTTTTGAAAGCTTTAACAAGATCTAATTAGGAATGACACTTTGATCCTATCCTATTACTTTTGCTAATGAACAGCACTGCTTTTAGATCTACAAGACTGTCCAAAAGTACTAATAAAACAGATCCTCACAACGATTAGGTATAAGCATAATTTGTCTGATCACCAATGACCAGAATAATTTGCCATTAAAAATAACAAGACTGCTTATTTATCCTGTGTTTTGATCAATTAAGGCTAACTTTTTTTTTGTAAATAAAATTTAGTCTATTTTTTATAATAAAAAAATAAGAATTAATAGAGAATTTTAAAAAGACTGTCCAAGCAGGAAAGAGCTAACAAGTCATCTGCTAAGCAAGAGTTCAAGGAAATAAAATCCTATGTGATTTTACAATGTTTACTCTGTCTGTAAGCATCTGAATTCTTCCTTATTCTTCCTTAGAAAGTCCAAGCAACTGCACAGAGGAAGCAAGGCAAGCAAAACAGGAGAGAGGACCTGGTGTAATCACAGGCATGCTTGGGATAACTCACAAGCCAAGAGAAGACTAAGAGGAATTCCAGGAATG